TTTTAGGATTATCTTGATTAAAAAAACATAATCCTCAGATAGATTAGATTTCTTGTGACCTTAATTTTTTTTGATAGTTTAATTCAAAATCATGTTAGTCAAGTAGAAATACATAAGTCTAAAATAAATAAATCCTTACTAGTAGATACAACAGCTTTTATGCATGCTGCAAAAGAAGGGTTATCTTTTGCTTTATATGCCACGTCTATTTTTGATGGCAAAAAGATGTTAAGTGATATTCTTAGTCAGTGTTAAGATTTTTAGGACGTTTTTTTTAAAAAAAACGTAGATATTCTTCTAAAGCATCATTTTTATGATTATTCTATCGATCTTTATGAAGGAGCTCAACCACTATTTGGACCAATCTATAGCCTATCACAAAACAAGTTGATTGCACTTTGGGAGTACATTCATGAAAACTTGATTAAGAATTTTATTTGTCATTCTAATTCTTCAATGGAACTTTTATTTTATTTGTGAAGAAAAAAGATGGATTTTTATAGATATGTATAGACTATTGAAGATTCAATAAGTTTACCATCAAGAATAGGTATCTTTTATCTTTAATTTCAAGTCTTTTTAATCAAATGAATTTAACAAACATCTATACAAAAATAGATCTACAATGAGCATATAATCTAGTATGCGTCAAAGAAGTAGATGAATGAAAAACTGTGTTTTAAACCAAGTATGGATATTTTGAATATAATGTCATATCTTTTGGACTCATAAATGTACCAGTTGCTTTTCAATATTTAATGAATAATGTCTTTTGTAATTTTCTTGATAATTTTGTCATCTATTATTTAGACAACATCTTAATCTACTCTAAGAACATAGATAGGCATGAAGTTCATGTTAATTGTGTATTACAGAAACTTATAGATGCAAGATTATATGCAAAGTTAGAAAAGTGTGTATTCTAGACTACTCAAGTTGACTTCTTAAGATACAATATTTAAAATAAAAGGCTAATAATGGATTCAAAGAAGATCTAGATTATCATAGATTAGAAGATTCTAAGAACAATAAAGGATGTGCAATGCTTTTTGGGTTTTGCCAATTACTATGAAATCTTTATCAAGAATTTTTTTCAAGTTGCAGCTCCACTTATATGTTTGACTTGTAAAGACATACTTCAGTGGAATAAAGAAGCCAAATCATCATTTGATGCTTGAAAAAAAGAATTTATTTTTTTACCAAACTTATATTATGTTGATTTCTTCAAGGCATTTTTTATAAAAACAGATGGATCAGACTTTGCCTTCAGTGTAATATTATCACAAATGGAAGCAAGTGACAAACTCCATCCAATAGCTTTTCATTCCAAAAAAAATTCAGTAGTCAAGATTAATTATGAAATCTACAACAAATAGCTCCTTGCAAATATGGATTCTTTTCAAGATTGCTGTCATTATTTAAAAGGTGTCTCAAGTCCAATCACCATGTATGAAGATCTTAAGAACCTCAAGTATTTCATGTCAGCATGTGTTTTAAGTCGTCATCAAGTTTATTGGAGCATATTCTTATCAAAATTTGATTTCAAGATCACTTATTGACTCAAAAAACAACAAGGTTTGTTGGACTCCTTTTCTAGATGTTCTTATCTTGCACCAAAAGAAGGAGATGTATCTTTTCATCAACAAAGAATAATTCTCTTGAAGTGGGACTATTTTCATCTTCAAGCAATAAAATCATCATTAATTATTGATTTAACATGTATCAATTAAATTCAATCAAATATGTCCTCGGATCTTCTGGTCTGTGATATCAAGAATAATTCTTTTAAGTCTCATGATACTTGCAAGTTTGAATTCAAAAACAACTTATTCTATTTTAAGGGATGATCATATATTCCAGAAGATAGGACACAATTACATGTTCTTCAAACTTGTCATGACTTTTCAAGAGTTGGACATTTTGGATACAATAAGACTTTGGAGATAATATTAAAAAAAAATTGGTAGCGTCAAATGTAGAAGATAGTCAAAGATTTTGTACAATCATGTGATATTTATTTAAGTTTCAAAACTCCTTGCTGTTGACCTTAAAGACTTCTTTAGCTATTATCTATTCCAAAAAAATCATGGTCTTCCGTTTCTATAGATTTTATCATGAATCTTCTAATCTCAAGTTCATATGATTTTATATTCATGGTTGTATATCATTTTATTAATATGGCAAATTTTGAATCATATACAAAATCTATCACAAGTAAAGAAATAGCTAAGTTTTTTTTTTTTATCAATATCTATTACTATCATAGATTCTTTAAAGATATTATTTCAGATAGAGAGACTCAATTTATATCAAGATTTTGGAGAATCTTTTTCAAAATATTAAAGGTAGATATAAAGCTTTTTTTGATTTTTTATCTTTAAACTAATAGACAAATAGAACATGTGAATTAAGTTTTGGAGTAATACTTAAAATATACCATAATCTATCATCAAAATAATTGAACAATTATTTTGCCATTGGCAGAGTTTGCATATAATAATTTGATACATTCTTCCACTCAACAAATACCTTTCTTTGCCAATTATAGTTATCATCCATAATTTGATACTTTTGACTTTTTAAAAGTTGATAATCCTGTAGTACAAGATTTAGTAAATTATTTGTTAGATCTATATGCAACAATGAAGGCATAGTTAAAAAAAAACTCAAGAACAACAAAATATTAATGAAGATGCTTATCATAAGAAACAATAATAATTCAACAAGATAATAAGGTATGATTACTTTGTGACAATATCAAGACTACATGTCTTTGTGACAAGCTGAACTATCATAGGCTTGAACCTTTTTATATTAGTGAATAAATCAATCATGTTGCTTATTGATTATATCTACCAAAGTCTATGAAGATTCACCTTGTATTTTACATGTCTCTTTTTTAGCCATATAAGATTGAATATCTCGGGAAGAATATAAATGCCACCTCCTCCTATAGAAGTGGATAATATTTAAGAGTTTGAGATGGAAGAAGTATTAAATTCAAGGTGGCACCAAAATAAGTTAGAATATCTTATTCATTGGCATAGATATGATAGTAATGAATGCACATGACAGCAAACTAAGAATCTTGTAAATGCAGCAAAAAGAGAGTTGAAGCTTTTCATTGACTACATCCATCAAAATCAAGATGAAGAATAGCAAATCTTTGCTATAAAAGAAACAAAATCAAAAGAAGATAATACTGTACCTTCTACCTTTTTTTGTAGCTTGTGTATATTTGTCATACTAAAGAGATAGAGAACCAACAATCAATAGATTCAACTCAAGAGCTTTGTTTTGAAACTTATCAGATGAGACATTGCAATTGTCACAATCTTTAAGATGACAAAATTAAAATGAAGATCTTTAAGAATAACATGTCTTTCCTTGAATAAATAGGAAGATACAATATGTTTAATATGATGACTTTGGAAGAGAGTCCCAATATTTGGTGATTTTATTACAAGTAGGAACAATTCCTGACAGTGTTCCAAATATTTTATTTGAAGGAAGTTATGAAAACCTCAATAACGATCAAATAATAAGATGGTCCTCTTGCCTTCGTATGGGATACTATCAACAACTGAGAGGACCTATCAACCATCTTTGAAGAGAACAAAGACTAAAGTATGTTGCAAATACAATTTACTGCATCTTGGATTTCTTCAACATATGAAGACCGTTTTTCATAGAACTCATCTCTAGAAGGGGAGATAATGTCATGGATATATATAGGTACTCTAATAAATACCTATATAATTAGGTAGAAATTGGTAAAAGTAAATAAAAGTAGGTTAATTTCATAAGACCTTCTAGAAAAGCTTTCTATAAGCTTTATAGACATTGCTTTGACTTTACATGTATTTGTAGTTGATTGATAGATTAAAAACTTGGTCAACAAATTAATCACATATTGCCAGCTTGTGGAACAAGCTAATTATGTGGCACACATATGGAAAACTTGCTTTGTAAGTTAAAATATGTGTCTTGTAAAGTCAACACATTTTGGAAGTCCTATAGGATATTGCCTCATAGCTCTTAATTAAGAATATATATGGAGGCAAGCGTAAAGCCTTCTTCACTCTTGTCAATGTCATTTTAGTCATTAGTCTTATTTTTAGACTTTTTAGTCTACTTGTTTTTGGCAATAGCCATTCTAGTTCAATAATATATCATCTTTGAATGACTTTCTAATTCTTTTTAATGTCCTAAGAGTGTATTGAGAATTTCTTCCTTTGAGATTCATATCCTTGATATGTATCTTAATATTCATTTCTCTTGATGATTATTAACAAATAATTGTTTTGCTTTATAGAGGGACTAAGAAAATCTATTGTAATTGTAGGTTGTACTTTAGAGTGCAAAACAATAAAGCCTCAAGATCCATATCCTATTTAAAAACAAACAATAAAGAAATACATTCAAGATAGAATTATTCAAAATATAGTAGAAATATTTATTGATGATTGAATAACAACTACAAAATTACAAAGCACATTGATGTGCTCAAAAAACACACAAAACATGTTGGAGCACCTGATATAAAAAACTAGCTAGCATTGTTGGAGGAGAGTCGATAGTAGCAAGAAAATCTCCAAACCTGCAGTAATCTTAAATCAGCTTGAGAACACTGCAAATCTCAGTAGGCAGTTTGTGCACACTAAAAACAACACGAGTGAAATTAGAAATACTCAAAACAAATCTAGGTTGTGAATAAACAAAAACAAAAATCCAATAGCAAATAACCTCACTTCTGAAGAACGAAACCAATGCAGAGAGCCTAAATTGGGGGGCATTTGTTAACTCCCCATTACGATTGCCCGAACGGCAATGGGTCCCGAGGCAGGCCCAAGGGGGCTGGCCGGGACCCCAGGACGCGCACGGCCCGTGACCGTATTCAGGATTCTGGCGAGCCCTGAGTGACGAGGGTTGGGATTAGGGTTTAGGGTTTGGCTGTGATGCCTCCAGCAAGCTCCTCCGCGTCCATCCCCTAGGTGGGCTTCTCCCTTCTCCCACGACCTCCATGTCCGGTTCAGGCCTCTTTCGCCTGCATTGTTCCTCATCTTGTCTCGCCTCGGAATCTGGATTGTTGGAGTGACTTCCAATTCTTCCGTTTTCTTTGTCGGAGTGATTTGTGCTAGTGTGTTCGCCTGATATTATCGAAAGAATCCGGATATCAATTGCCATACCGAACACTTCCAGCTTTGTCTGAACTAGTAGCAGTGCAGTCAATTTCGTGAGGTTTATTCCTATTTTCATAGGGCCTGCATTTTAATTTAGGGTCGAAGGCAAGGGCGACATTGATGTGATGCGGTGCTGTTGATTTTGTTGCATTTCCGTGTCTTTGGGAGTTGTTTGTAAAATTTATCAAATTCGTGACATAATTGTCGTAACTTTGAAACCTTTGTCGCATTGCTCGAAACATTGGTCTAGCGCGAGACCAGTGCGATTTTTTTGTTTGTTTGTTTGTTTGTTTGTTTTTTTTTTTTTTGGTAATTGCAAACTCGAACTAAATCCCGTTTATGTAGTTTCTGAGGTTCGAGTTACGCCGAGTTTTCATGTGTAATCTTCTGACTCTCTTTGGGTCTTCCAAACAGTAGGATTTGACAATTTATTTCTGGAGGTAGACGCCATCCGGAATTCTTCATGCGGAGGGTCCTAACTCGCAACTGAATTGATTGCTTTCATCTGTATTGGGAATCATGTCGCAATCACGGCTCCACACTCGCGAAACTTTGCTTTCTTTTCTTCAGGTATACATTTTCTTGTAAATAATGGTTCCTTGTTTGGTTCAGGACTTGTTTATGCTTCCCTTGCCGCCACTGCCCGTTATGTTTCATTGTAATTGTTTTATTGCCTTCCGCTCGCGGGAGCACCTGAACTTTGTAGTTTCAGAGATTCTGATATTCTGGGGAGATTTGTGCAGGAGCATGGAGTTGACTGTGTGACGCATAACCATCCCGCGGTTTCGATAGTAGAGGAGCAGGTTAATGCTATGGGGTTTTTAATGCTAGATATTCATTTATTTTTTAATGTCTTATGATTGCATTTTGTGGCTGTATAGATTGGAGCTATTTCGGTTTAGAAGTTCTTTGATTTCAAGTGTATTTTTTTCATATGTTTAATTTGGTGTTACCTGCGATTACAGGCTAATCATGTTGGACATCTGGATGGATGCGTCAGCAAAAATCTATTTTTAAAGGTAATGAAGGTTCTGGGTATTGGTTCGACTGCTTCGGCGACTGAAAGTATGCTGGCGATGGATGCTAAGTCTGCTTCTGTTGGTCGACTCTACAACCTAAGTTATGAAAATTACAAACTGTGATACTGACAGATTGTTTGGTTGTACTGTCTGTGTGTGAGTGCAGGATAAAAAGAATCGATTATATGTAGTCTCAACGTTGACCACCACTCAGGTCGATTTAAAAGGTGCTTTTTGGATTTTGATTGGTGATGCCGTCAAGTTAGTGTACTAGGTGTGCTTTTACAAGTCCTAATCTTTCTCTTCTCTTGAAATCTGACGGATGCGTGACTGAACTAAACTTGAACATGTTTTCTCGCAGCACTTTCAGCACGGCTCGGGTTAGGCAAAGGTGGAGTACGTGTGGCTCCAGAGGAGTCCCTACAGTCTGTTCTTCAGGTAATCTTGCGACTTCTTAATTTCACTGGTTCAGTGCAGATCAGATATCCTGAAATCTGAATTGATTCAGCATCAAATACTACGTGGATGTCTTGTGAATGGTGACTCTCGTGAGCAAATTGTCGTGGAGGTGGCTGTTGATTATTGACATGCCTTCAAAATTGCCACCAACAGGTTTTCTTACACTACAATATAATTTTTGCTTGAACCTCGAAACATATTTGAATTGTTCTCAGTGTTGGCTTTTCTGCTGTGTAGGTGCCGCCCACTTGCGTGTCACCTTTCGCCCTTATCAATGAATCTGCAAGGTATCTGTTTACTCTCATTCTCTCTCATCAGTATGTTTTTAATAATATGTGTTATTTCTCAATACAATATGCTTGAATCTAAACAGAAAAAAAAAAAAAAAAAACCGCCGTATGCTTCATTAGTTTATGAAATTTTTTTGAACAAACTTCTTGTGCCTGTAAGCTGGTTAATTTTATGGAACCATCTCAAATTTAGTTATTCCCCTTTCGGCTGCACTGTTAGAATTCAATTTGAGCTGAGCGTTGAGTGGCTTCAGAATATGATTATTATATCTGTAAACTTAAAGCGTGTCCTGACGGTCTGTTAGGTCTGTAGCTTTGCTGCTGGATGTTGGATTTCAGAAGCAATCACGGGTGTTTTTTCATCCTTTGTCCAATGACGTCAGCACAGGTCCGTTTTAAGACCACGATTTCAGTCGCAGTATTAAGGCTCTCTTTATGTTGTGGATGGACGTTTCTGAATCCTACGCCGACGAAATTATTTTAGACTTACAATAGTTTTGTTGTGATGCCTTTTCAGCTGTTACAACTGAAAATTTGGACAAATTTTTGAAGGCAATTGGCAGAGAACCTTCCTATGTTGATTTCGAGGTATGAAATGAAAAGTCTCTTGTTGATCATTTCGAAAATGTTGTTGGGAAGACGGTATTATCAATCAATTGGATCTTGGTTTGTTCCTCTTACATACCGTGCTGCAGGCTGTAGTAGTCGTCGGCAAAGACCAACCTCCTGACTTAGCATCACTGGTACCGAAGGAAGCCGCTAAGGAAACTGAAAGCCAACAAGGAACTACAGAATTGAAAGGTAATTGAGAGTGAAAGGATGATATGATTCTGTGATTGCCCAATATGCGTTCTGTCGCTTAAATCAGCCACAAGTCAGCACAGTTTCCTGACTTTATCTCATGCTTCCAGTGACTGCTGTAGCGCCAGCTACGAAACAGGCCGCTGCTGCCCCACCAAAGAAAACCAAAGCCGTCGTGCCAAAGACGGAGGGCGTGGTGAGAGTGGATGTATGCAGTGTACTCGCCTCTGTTTTGGATGATGCTGTTGCTGCTGCTGTCGCCGGAATTCATTCTTCAACCTTGGAGAACGAGAAGAAGCAGGCCGTGGCTGAAGCAGTTGATGCTGCTATTAGGCATAGGCTAGCTCCAGACCTGGAAAGCTTACTGGTAAGGTTATGATTCTGCTTGCCGCATTACTCATCACATCTGATGCTAGGAGCTGTCTTAATGCCTGCATGTTGGTGTAAATGGCTCGAAAAGTCATTGAAATTGAACCTCTGTGATCGGCTGTTGTAGATGACGTTCAAGAACACAGTGTACGCTGAAGGCTTCAAGTCCGCAACAGAAAGCCAAAGACTTAGTTCTGCTCGGTAGCATCCGATCAGCTTTATCTGCGATGGCTTCAAGTCCATCTTGTTTCATTGCGACGCTCATCTTCTGCATGCACTCAATCTTTTTACTTATTTTTTTTTTGTTCCTCAGCTTTATCCTGATTGAAAGCCTAGAATTCTCATTGTTTGGTCAAATAGATGTACCATACTTTGAGTACTTTCTTATGAAGTTGTTTTCTTCCCTCATCACTGCACCTGCTATTGTTGACAGAAAAAAGATGTGTTCTGAGTTACTCTTTGTTCATGTGATACATGCTCGAGTAGAATTCCGACATTGAAGCACTATGCTGCTAAAATTATTTTTCATATCAATCCCAGAGTATGTGCATTTGTCTCTTGGTTGCATTTTATTTACTATCACATGTCTCATCTCGAGATCCAATCCTTTGATCAACATTGGGCTTGCAGGACGAGCAGTCTAATGTTTTCATTTTTGTGTTGATATTGGATCGTATTACAACAATTCAAGTGCAGCTTTATGAGCAGTTGAGTTTTTTTACCTTAAGTGTCGCTTCTTTAATCTTACACACACCAGACGATTTTGTATAGGCAAACACATCGTTTTGCACATGAACAATGCACCCTCGCACCTCTGCAACTCATCCTCCTCACGAGCCAATCATTCAGTATCACACCCCAAGCCCCCTTGCATCGAAATATGAATGATTTCCGAAACTACGCTACCAAATGCACCTTTTTTCTGCGTATCCTGTAGAATGATCGGAAAGGATTCTCTCGAATAGTTAATATAAGGAGAAGATGAGATATTAAGAAAAGCAAGCTCGGAGAGGATGGATGTCGGGATGAGATTCTGGCATCCAGGCAGGTGGGTGAAGGGTCGGTAGTCTAAATACCGAGACTAAGGAAATCCAAAAGATCCACCTCAGCACCGGATGGATAGACTTGGCTGCGGTGCTAGCTGGACACGGCTTCCGGATCGCTCTTGTCTTTCGATAGCATGCGATGTACTAATCTCTCTCCTTTTTGTTCCTGCTGTGTTCTTGTGAGACGGCGCCTCCAACGATTTGTTTCAAGCCCTTTTTTATTTTATTTATTTATCTATTTTCTTCGTCCATCTGCTCGGTTTTCTCGAGGTGGGTTCATGTGTATTGATCGCTGCGTTTTACTCCATGTGGGCTCTGTCTTGCTGCGGTTTGCAGGGTTGTGGCTAGATAGATATGTTGTTTGATGTGCTGCGGTGTTTGTATTGGAGGATTGTTTCTGTGAGACTTCGTGAGGTGTCATTGTACTTGGGTTATCGTAGAGAGGAGAATTGCAGTGGTTACCAACTAGTGGAAATCTGGTTGAAGGTGTCGTTGGGTTTGATTCTTTTACTCAAAGCTGATACTTGGCTCTTCTTCTGCAGAATTTGCTTTTGCAGAAGAATCAAAGGCCATCGCTCATAATTTGTCGAGGGAGTGGAGAGAAGTAGGGCACAATGACGACGATTTTAGCCACGGGGCAGGCAGCGAGTGTGGCCTGCTGCAGCTCTGCAAGGATACCTCAGAGCAACATTGCTGGAAGGGCGGGTCTTAGCTCTTCATTCTTGAGGCTGGAATCGGCAGCCGCTATTTCCAGCTTGAACTCCTCTTTTCAAGGTCAGGCCTGTCTTGATGTGTCGCATCTCGGGATGTCTGGGGGAGAAATGCAGAAAGGGAGGGTAACGACGTGCATGGCTTGGGGTGGCGCTCTTGCTGGAGTGAGGCTCGTCATCCAGGGCAAGCATTTGGAGGTACATGATCCCCTGCCTTCCATTCCTGTTGGTGTAGGTGTTAACGTTGTGCCGCTTTATTTGTATTGAATGTGATACTGAGCCTGCCGACATGTACTTAGTTCCAGTCTTTAGACTAGGGTTCATAATTTCACTCGACTCAAGGATAAAGCGTATGATGCTTGGAGAGATACTTTCGAGATTGGCGCGACTCTAACTCTAGTGTGATGCATGACTTGGCAACAGCTGACAGATGCTATCAAGCAGTATGTGGAGGAGAAAGTTGGCAATGCAGTGCACAATCAGAGTGCACTTGTCAAGGAAGTAGATGTAAGAATGTCCGTTCGAGGTGGTGAAACAGGGCGCGGTGGGAAGCTTCAGAGGTGTGAGGTAGGATTTCGTAGAAATTGCATCTGGAAGCACAACAAACATCCCAACTTTTTCCATACCTTCTTTTGCTTGTAATCAAATCGATCGTGGCTTGGAATATTCTACAGTCGACAAATTAAGTGATTAAGCGTGGTCTTTAATTCCGTCTTAAATACCGTGCAACATATTAAGTCGACAATCGATCGTGGCTGGGAATATCCAACAGTCTTTAATACCGTCTTAAATACAGTGCAACATATTTCGGAAGGGTTAGAAAACCATGATATTCTTCGTGAAATTGTTAGAGTCGATTACCCTCTTAATATTTTAATTAGTATTGGCTGATCAAAGGTCCTAGCTAGGTAATTTATCGCGTCTTTGAGGTTCTTGTTCATCTGTGAAGTTCAATTATGTGCAGTTTTTATCACATCTCATTGTAATATTGTTATCTTTCGCATTTCCTCGTGACCCTAGGATTTTGTAATGCGATGTCCTCCACTTACGCTGTTTCGATCTCAGGGTATTATTGTATCTATTTGACTGAGTTACCAAGCATTTAGGTTGAAAACTTGCCCTTTCGTCATTGAATGTTCATTTTCACAATCCTTTCCCATTCTCTTTTTTGATTAACGTAATTCGGAAAAATGGTGTGTCGCTTGTTTGGCAGGTCACATTATTCACCAAGAAACACGGCGTTGTGAGAGCAGAAGAGGAGGCTGAAAGCATGTATGCAAGCATAGACAGGGTTTCCGATGTCATCTCAAGAAAACTTCGAAAGATCAAGGAAAAAGATGGAGGCCACGGGCGCCCCACCAAGTCACGCCATTCACCCCGCATTGGAGAAGTGTTGTCCGACGAAGTCGTGGACCTTGATCCCATTCTCGGGAGGAAGCCTGATGATTTGCCCGACGAGGTACGCTGTCACAAACTTAATATTTTCTCAGATGCTTCTCATCAAGCGAAAATTTTGTTTCAAGTTAGTGACGCTGGCTATTCTTTCCGCACATAATGCTCGTTCTCTAGAGAGTTAGAAACTTATTAATGCTGTGGTCTTCAACTAGGGAATATAGTTGTTATTTTTGCGAATTTGTGTACTTTGTGCATTGCACACCTTGTGCTCTTCACGGAAACCTTCAGACCATGACTGCGTATGTAAATATGAATACTGGCAGTATCCTCAGTAATGATACACATCGTGAATCAGAGCAACTTCAGTGCCTTATTGAACTTAATGTGAATATGTAACTGCTGTATTATCAAACTCTTTATTTCTGGATAGTCATAATCTTGACTGAGGGACTTGTCTAACATTTTATTGCAGATCGTTCGCACGAAGTACTTTGAAATGCGTCCTATGAAACCACTCGAAGCTCTCGAGCAATTGGTCAATGTTGGCCATGATTTCTACGCCTTCCGCAATGTCGAAAGTGGTGAGATGTTCTTCCTCGTCTGATGCATGACTGGAACAAAAATAGCATAGTTTAAGGAGAATTCTGATACTGCACTTCTATATGGATAAGGGATAATCTCAGTTAGTCTCGATTGTCACGAAGTAGGTGTGTTAAAAGTTTGTATTGTGTTTCCTCTGCGAAATGTATCCTTGTGTGTTGATGGCTTCGAATTGGCGTATGCAGGGGAGATCAACATCCTTTACAAGCGAACCCACGGGGGTTACGGAATAATTGTCCCTCGAAATGAGGAGGCTTGGGAGGCTGGTAACGGAGTATCGAAAAGTAGCTAGAACCTTGAAAGTCTGGAGTTCCACTCTAGAGACATCTTTGTGGTCTGTTATTTTCAAAGCTGTAAACTTAGCCGAGTCTTAGACCACATTGATGGGACTTACTGTAGGATTCTTCTCTCTCTTGATTACCAGCTCTACTTGCATCATGTTGCAACTTGTATCGTATTCCACGGACACCAACTTGCTGATCCAATTTCAGAATGTGCAGTTTTCAAAATGTAGAAAGGCTGAGGACTTTCACTCCAACTCTTTGAGAAATCTTGCATTTTGGTAACAACCGTTATGTATACTACGCTTCAATCTGCTGGATGATTGATAGAACGGGTCAGAATGATTTTGATCTTCAAGAAAGTAAAAATCATTATGGAGAAAATTTTATGTAATTTGAATATTAAATTCGAATGATGGGCATTCCGAATGCAAGCCAAACCAGTGTTGGGATGTCTTAATATGGTTGAGCCTCTTTATCTCTGGATTGTGACAGTAATGAATTTAACACATGACGATTTCAAAGGGCAATTCCTGAATCTGAGTTAAATACCAAGTGAATATTCTGAGGTATTAAGTTTACCTGAGCTTGGATCAGTTGTAGCACGTCGAATGAATCGAAGAACTAACTTCATTTATATTTAAACACTAACAGGGAGTCAACTGGATATTGGTGGTAGTGCAATGTCTGATATGTTGATGATTGGAATATCTTTCATGATATATTTGGTCTATGTTTGAAATAATGGTTTCTGCTGAATTCTATTAGCTTGCAGCATTACATAAGTAGACACAATGACATCCATTTCTCTCAAGAAAATCCAAATTTGGAAACTTGCCAAAATACAATCTCCTTAAGGTTAAAATTAAGAGTAGTTTTTTTGCAAAAATTAGTATAGAAAATGGTTAGATTGATACAGAAGGAGGATTGTTTGTGAGACTAGATTTAGTTGAAATCAAACCTTGAATACAAAAACCAATATCCACAACAAAAGTAGGATTCCTTGATAGATCAAAAAGTAGCATTTTAGAGGGACTTGAAGGGACTTCAAAGAGGTTAGATGTGTAGGAATCTGCTATCTAGATTGATCTACAAATTGTTGCATTCATAGAAGACTTGAAATGCAATACTTATACCAAGTTTGAGCATGAATTAATGGTAGAAAGAGGAGATCATGTGATTAAAATTTGATATTAAAACTTGAAAAGAAAATTGCTTTGAATCCAAGCTTTTCTTTGGTCATTTCTCTCAATTTGTAAATTGGATCCATTTCAAATTTGTGAGTTTATTGTGAACTTACATATCTAACAGCATGCAAAATCTAAACTAAATCCAATAGCAAAATCAAAGGCTATAGCTTATTGAATATACAACTTGAAATTTATGGATCAATATGGTTTTTTAGAGGTTTTTTAGGATATCTTTAAAATTTGCTTAAAATTTGATAGGATTTATTTAGAATTTTGTTAGAATTTGCTAATGATTTGTTTTTGATTGTTTAAGATTATTTGGATTTGAAATTTAGAATAAATAAGATTTAGGATTAATTAAGTTTAGGATTTCTAAGAAAATCAAGGTTGTCAAAATGGATGTTTCTAAACATCTTATTCATTGTTTTTTGGATTATATGAAGAATTTTAGAGCTTAGACGAATTTCTTCTATAAATAAATATCCAACACATTTCTAAGCTATAATTCACATAACAAAACAACGTGTAATTGCCTAAAAACATAATAAACAATGCAACATGGTAATACAAAAAAATACGTCATTGAAATGTAGTAGTTGTACGAAGCTATAAAGTGCCAATTGTATCAATATGTACTGCTGACTAGACCACAAAAAAGAAGTAGGATATAAAACTTCATGTTTAATATAGATTTATATATTAATATAAAATATGCTATAGATAGAGTGAAAATAAGTGAAGATAGAATGGTAAGAAGCAACATAAAAGTGGAGATGAGAGAGTACCAAAAGTAATAAAATAAAATAGAGGTATAAGAATTAATGACAACCATGGACACTTATTGGTAGAGCAAAATTTTCTACTAGGCTAGGCATATGTTAAGAGAAAATTTACCAAAATAATATATGCACAAATATGTAGGCTTCTTAGTTTGTACAATATTTGGAACAACCAATATTATTGTGTGTATTGAAATTGAATTGATATCTATACATGTTATGTTTGTGTGTTTTATGGAAAATATTCTTCTTTAATAATATTTTAAAAATTCTCAAAAATCGTATGAAAAATCATATGAAATACAATTAGTTTAAGAAAAAAAATAGAAAATTGATATATTTTTTCATGGACAATGTAAAAAGTTACAATTAACAAATTATTATTTCTATTATCTTATAAAACATAAGAAGAATTGTTCAAGTTTTAAAATTGAGATTCATACTTTAAGCTTAAAGAAAATTAAAATCCAACAACCAAAGATGAATCAAAGGCAATCAAATACAAAGCACAATAGATATAGAGAATTTAGAAGTATTTTTATAATAGATGCATACATTATCTATGTAAGTAGATGTAAGTAGATGTAAGTAGATGTAAGTAGAAGTAGATAGAAATATGTTAGGTAGATAATATCTTTTATAAAAAGCTTTTAAGAAGTTGCTTAGATATTGGTTAGGTCTTTAGTCTCTTATAGATATGTCATGTGGCTATTAAAACTTATCCTATAAATTTAATATATTTAGGAAGTTACTTTTGGAAGCAACTTATAATACTTTAGGCCAAAAGTCTAATAATCTTCAAAATGATTCTACAAGACTTTTTTGGTGGCTAGCATATATGAAGGCAAGATTTTAGTATTTTAAATCATATTAATACCTTTTTTGTATTTTAATCTTAGTTTAAGACTCTCTCTCTCTCTCTCTCTCTCTCTCTCTATATATATATATATATATATATATATTATTTCTATTTTTTTTAGAAATAGTTTTTTTACTTCTTTTTTAATCTTGTATCTTCTTTTTTTAATTTTATTTTTCATTCTTAATGACAAAAGAATATATAATCTTCGTAAATTTCTATTTTTATTTATGTCTTTTATAATTTAATAAAAATACTATTTTTTATAATTATTTTGCTTAAAAAGAAAGTAAATGATAATATTTCTTATGGAATTTTATTATATTTCAAAGATTATAAATTATTCATATTTAAACTAATATTTCGTTTATTTTTATCCTTAATAATTAAATAAACTACTTAACTTTGTAAGAATTATGATTTGATATTAAAGATTGTACATAATCTTCTTCTAAATTAATTCATATTTTTTTTAGTACTTTATATTTTAAGTCTAGTTTATACTAGATTAAAGAAAAAAATCATTGATGTTATATTGTAGAAATTAAGAATATAATTACAACCATTGGAAATTCTTAAGATTTAATTATTATTCTTTGAAAAAAAATCTCATATACTAGCATTTCAACCATGGAAGCCTTAATACTATGTATCTAGAATAAGTCAATAATAAAGTTTCCTCTCTATACCAAAAAGTTATCTAATGAAAAGAAACAAGTATAAGTAGACTAATTTTATAATTGAAATTTTGAAATCTAATTATGAAAAATACAAAAGAATCAAAGATTGATAAACTAAAGAAGTTTGATAGAACAAAATCAAAACTATGAGAACTTCTTTAATAGGTCAAATTCTTCTTATATTTATATCTTTATTATTACCTTGATGGTATTACTCATGTGAGATTTGTAGATATACTTCTATTAAGAAATGGTTTGTATATATATATATATATCTTAAATAGAAAATTATTTATAAATTATTTATAATTTAAACTTATTTTTAAATCCATTTATTTAGAAAGAATAATTTAAGAAGAATATAAAAACCAAAATTTTAGTCTCTACAATAAAGATTATATTTAACAACTATTTATCTTTTGGAATTCCAAAAAACTTATTTGAATTATAAATAATAATAATAAATTTCTTATTAATAAAATTTTAACATAGTTTAAAAAATCATATTATAGATTTATTATTGATAATTATAAAATTATAAGTATTATAATAATTTATCACTTAAACAATTACATTCAACAATTGCTTCTTTAAAAGATGCCAAGAACAAAGATTTGGTTGAAGAAAGACAAATCAAGTAATAAAAAAAAATATTTAAGTTCTTAATATTCATTTTATTAAGACTAAAACCTATTAAGGTTAATACAATTAAATTTAAGCAATTAACATAAGAAAAAATTATTATAAAAATTTATATTTAAATTATTTAAAAGCATGTAATTAAGTTAAGGATATTATATAAAATAATAAATTCAAGATTTAGAATACAAACTAAAATGTGAAAAATTTTAAAAAAAAAATATATCTTATTATAATAAAAAAATTGTAATTGGATAATTCTAGACTATAACTATCAAATATAAGATTTATGAGACTATTAGATTTTATATCTTATTTTAGAATTTTTAGAATTATTAAAGTTTCAAGTTGTAACTTTTCAACTTAAGTTCTTTTAGAGATAGAATCTTTAACATATTTTATTGATAAGTATTTTATACTATAGTCCAAATTAATATTCTAAAAAATATTTAATTAGCTCTAATAGAGATTGTTATTAGATAACTAGTTGAATTTAGAAATATTATTAAAAAGATTAATTTTTTAAAAGTAGGATTAACGCATTGTATATTTAACATTTTTTTTAACTTCATTCAATGTCCTTCAAATCTAATAGTATTTTTTTTATTTAATTTTAATTATATAAATAAGACATTGATAAAAATTATAAAAGATTATTTTAAGATTTATTCAAGAAATTAGCAAAACATTTTAATTCTTATTTTTTAGAAATGAGATATTTATACAAGGAGAAATTTTTTGTTTTTTTTTCTTTGTTTTCTTTTTTTTTATATGTAATATTAAGTCTTTATTTAAGTAGAAATTAAAATATAATCTCACAGTAATAGACTTAGTCGAATATTTTCTTAGAATTCTTAAATCAATTATTCAACCTCTTTCAAATAAAGATTGGATTATATTACAAATTTGCTTAATAATCATGTATTGTTACTATCAATGTGGTGCCCTTATTGGCAAGTAGAACATTTGTTGGTTCAATATCATTAACTTAAGCTTATTCCTTGATATCATCTAATATCAATAGATCTTTTTTCTTGTCCAATAGTATCTTTTGTCTAAAGAATATATCCATGATTTTTTTTTTTTTTTTTTTTTTTCTTTTCTTTTCTTTTCTTTTGAATCCTAGATATTTATAAAAATGATATTTTTCAAA